CTCCGGCCGTACGTATATGCCAGTCCAGCAACAGGATATTCAGCAGCTCATGCCGACTACAGTACCGGAGCCGGCCACAAAACGACAGGCATCGGGAGAGATCAAGTCCAACATTGCACCTCCAAGGCCAGTCAATAGCACTGTCAAGGCTACCACCGCAACAGGCGTCCGTTCGTCCAAATCATCATCGGTTTCTGCTCCATCGACTCGCTCTCGCCAAAACTCGACCCCCTCCTTCGCCAGCAGCTACTCCCATGGGGCCAGATCTACCAAAGACAGTCGACCGCACACTTCCATGTCTAGGCACCGTTCCCAGACTCCTGCCAACCGACCGGCGACATCTATGGATAACAACAACTCCTCTTCTGGAGGAAAGCGTCCGCAGGGTACAGTACCGCCTTCTCTTTCAACGTATACTGCTTCAAGTTCCAATCCTTCGACTTCCAAGCACAGTCTTCGCAGAGCACGCAGTCAGGATAGCGGCATGGGCCAATCGTTCCACACATATGACAGATCAGTTTCAGCGCATTCTTTTCAGCAACCCCATTCTGGTCGACTTGTTAAAAAGGCTTCTTGGGATGGCTCGATGGGCTCCATGGAACCTTTGCGCTTTGCGCAAGCTCCTGGATCATTTGAGACAATCCCGGAAGATCCTGAGCCTCCTGCGACCCCTTCTCATATTCCGCGTCTCCAGGTTCAACCCGTTCAGCATTCTGGTCCCTTTGATTCTCAATCATCAGCGTTTTCTCTTGAGCAAAGCCAGGCCCTTCCTTTTCGTTCAACTTCTCCTTCGAAGACCCCCAAGACGTCTCCTTGCAAAGATGTTACGACTCCATTTTTGAACAAAGACTCTAACTTGCGTGCTCCACTTCCAGCTTGGGATACCAAATCCCGCCTCGACGAGATGGAGGCCCTTTACGGCGAGCTTCGGCAACAGATGACAACCACGGCGAACGAGCGCGAAAACATCGAAGAAAAAATCGAAAGTCACAAGGCCAAGAGTATGTCTCTTTCAATCATGGACATTCGATGTGCAGTCTTTGAGCTTGTTTCCACGCGATACATGACGACCAGAAAAGGATTGAAGTTAACCCTGGATTTTTTGATTGCAGTCAACGAACTTGAGGCCATCCGATCCCAACTCTCGTCCAAGAACGACACGATCCGCAACGAATTAGAGTCGACAAGGCTGAAACTCTCGCAAACAGAGGTTGCCCTCGAGAGCCTCAAGAATTCTCACAGTTTTGAACTCAAAGACTTGAGAAGGCAGCACGAACACGATGTCAAAGACATGCAATTTGCGCACGAGCGTGAGGTCACAAAATTGCGCCTCGAATCTGACAGAAAGGCGGAGGAGCTGCAGCGGAGTCTTAACCATCAGACCAAGGACGTCAAGAACGAGTATGAGGAAAGATTTGCAAGTCTAAAGAGGGAGATGGAGGCCCAGCTGGATCAAGAGCGGCAACGACGCGTCAAGGAGGTGTCAGAATTGCAAACACAGGCGGACCTCCACGCTCAGAACGCCGGCGTAGATATGGAGAAGAAGGACAGGGAGCTTCTCGACCTCCGCCGCGAAACCGAGCAGCTCAAGGCCGACATCGAGCGCAAGACTGCTCTGGAGAAGAATTTGCGGGACAAGCTCTCCGAGTCGACTGCAAACAACATGACGCTCGAGTCGGCAAACAGCGCCATGAGGGCCAAGATTAACTTTCTCGAGTCTGACAGCCAGGCACAATCCACGGCTTTTGCAGAACTCCACAAGCGCATGCAAGAAGCCGTTGATGCAGCTGAAGAGACAAGGGCCAAACTTCGTGAAGAGGAAACCCTTCGACGCAAGCTGCACAACCAAGTTCAGGAGCTCAAGGGCAACATTCGCGTCTTTTGCCGTGTTCGTCCACCGGCAGAAATCGAGGCCGCAGAGGCTGCTGAGATTGCCTATCCTGACGCTGGAAAGGACAGCAAGGAAGTTGTCCTTCAGGGTCCTGAGCAGAGAAGCGCCATGGGCAACGTGACTCGCTCTACCAATCCCTTTTCTTTCGACAGGGTCTTCGGTCCAAAGTCGCAGAATGGAGAGGTATTTGAAGAGATTTCCCAGCTTGTCCAGTCCGCGCTCGATGGATACAACGTCTGCATCTTCTGCTATGGCCAGACTGGCTCCGGAAAAACGTACACTATGAGTTCACCAGACGGCATGATTCCCCTCGCGGTCCAGCAAATTTACAACACCGCGCAGGAGCTAGAAGAAAAGGGCTGGCGCTACAAGATGGAGGGCCAGTTTGTCGAGGTGTACAATGAAGTCTTGAACGACTTGCTCGGCAGTGCTGAGGAGTTTGACAAGAAGAAGCACGAGATTCGGCATGACCCGCAAAAGAAGAGCACCGAAATCACTGGCGTGACATCAGTGCCTCTGGACAGTCCTGACAAGGTGCAGTCAATGCTCTCGAACGCCTCGCGTAACCGTAGCGTCGCTGCGACCATGGCAAACAGCCGCTCTTCGCGGTCCCACTCTGTCTTTATTCTTAAACTCAAGGGCGAGAACTCGATTACTGGCGAGCGCAGCGAAGGCACCTTGAATCTCGTCGATCTGGCAGGTTCTGAGCGTCTGAGCCACTCGGGAGCTACCGGCGACCGTCTCAAGGAAACGCAAAACATCAACCGCAGTCTGAGCTGCCTTGGCGATGTCATCGCCGCGCTGGGCTCTGGCAAGGACGGCGCGCACATTCCGTACCGCAACAGCAAGCTCACATATTTGCTGCAATATTCCCTCGGCGGCAACAGCAAGACCCTCATGTTTGTCATGATCAGTCCTCTGCAGGCGCACTTGCACGAGACTTTGACCAGTCTGAAGTTTGCCACCAAGGTAAGGCTCACTGCGCACATTTTGGTTTTTGTAGCTGACATGTCTAGGTGCACAACACGCACATTGGCACGGCAAAGAGGCAGGCCAAGGTCAAGGAGTGAACCTCTGCCTAAACTTGTACCCATCCAGACGGGACCCGTCGCGCCTCGAGTATCTGCGCGAGACATACTGTACAGAATCCGCTCCCAAAAGTGGAGCCAGGACTTCGAGCACAAAGGTGAAGAGTCCTGCTTTCTTGTCTCGTTTCCTTCTTCCATAGCGAGACAACACCTTTCCTATTCCCAGCTCGGCTGGCCGGCCTTGCAACGGACGTTACTGATGACTGGTGTCTGAGGTGTTTTGGCGTTGATCTCTTCTTCCTTTGCTTTTCTATTCTCTTTAACTCTTCGGGCTTGGCGCCTCTCAGACGCCCCGCCTTGTCTATCCACTCGTGGCGTATGTTCGTCACCCTGGCTATCTGCACGTGGAAATGCAGACCAAGTTCTTATTGGGCTCGGGTTTCGCGACGATGCAGTCTACGATTCCAACCCCTTTCTTCCGTCATGCCTTGGAGCAGTTGGACAGGTCGTTGAGTGGGCGGTTTTCTTCTTGGTCGGATTATTTGGATTGGAGTGTACTGGGTTTGGAGGAGTAAGGCGATGATGGGAAGGGCCTGGGGGCTGTAAAGGGCGCGGATGGAATCGGGATCTAGGGTAACGCTGCGATTGAATTGAATTGTTTGATCTTGTGCCTATTGACCAATGGGTGATGTCAAGAACAAGGATAACATTAGGGCGAAGGCCAATTAAAAACCAGATTGGAATGCGAATCAACTAGAGAGAGCAACATAGAAGGGCAGATTACTGTCTAAATTGATTCCATTTCATAGGGTTGAAAGCACGTGAGGGAAATCGCATCCTCTGGATGAAGGATGAACTGCTGCTGGTGATGTATGCGGTGGAGTTCGTCTGACTGAAAGTCGAAGCCTTGCATTTGGAAAGCAAAGGACGCTCTCCCCTTGTTTACAATATTAACCACTTTGAACCAAGTCGAACTCGAGTGTGTCCTTAGTCAATTGATTTGGCGATTGGAAAATGTACGCACAAGTCAACCTCTCCGGCGGCTCCATCTGACTTCTTGAGTTGTAACAAGCTCTTCAGCTCCCTTGCCGCCAACGCTTTTCCGTTTCTTGGAGCACTTGTGTATCAGAAACTTCCAATGGTGTCTGAATCGCAGCTTAAAAGTTAAAGGGATCACTCAACGATGCATCCCGCGCGATGTTTGTTTGTCGGCTTAGGCTTGACAGACCTGCCTAACCGGGCTAGCGTTGACAACGGTCTCATCTACATGATTTCTCTCCACGACGCATCTTGTCCTGCTGCAACTGATTGCCGTCGTCCAATGCAGGCTCCTCCGGGCTTCGGCGGCCCAGTGCTAGAAGATTGATGTTGTCGCTTAGAGAACCTGGGGACTGAGATCGTTGTTGGGGAAACGCTCGGTGGGACGGGTCGGCAAGCGAGGCTAGAGATACGCGAGGTCCGCAATCACGACAAGCGAGTCTGGAGTTTGCTCTGATGCGCAAGGTCGGTCGCAACGCCGTTTGCGAGCCGGGATTTGAGTGCCAAAGGCTGTGTGCCATCGGTTATGGGCAACGGGAGGTGGCGTGGGGAAGCGATGTTTGACTACGGGATATTCCACCTTTCGAATACATGGACTGTACCTGTTCTGGTGCAGCGAAGGGAGCTACGGCTTGATTGATCGAGGAGGCAATAGTTTTACGCCCCGAGAACAATGCAAATTGTGGAAGGCCAACTCAGGAGGTCATCCATCTTGCGCACTTCCTTTCCAACCGAGAACCCATGTAGATACGCCGTGAGGCAAGCCTGTCCCAGAAACCTGGCCTTCTCAGCATCCGTCACGCGTGCTTCCGCAGCCGGAACACATGGTCCACAAAGCTCTGCGGGTAAATGGACAAAAAGGGGTCCAGAGGGTCTCACTTGCGGATTGTGCGCCACCCCTTGATCCTGCAAGCTTTCCCTCTTACCCCAAGGTTCTTGACGACGCCTGAAATGCTGGGAGAGGTGTCGTACCCCGCAAAAATATGTGGAGACCAAAAAAATGCAGTTTAAAAGAAACGGTGTCACAGACCACATCATCTTTCTAGTCCCACCGAGGATCGAACTCGGGACCTTTCGCGCTCCACTAGATTATCCTAAACCCGGTTGTGAAGCGAACGTCATACCACTAGACCATAGGACTTGTTGAAAAATAACATGCGCAAAAGCAATTATGACCTCTGCAAAATTGAAAGTTGGGAGGTTGGGGAGCCGTGCGAAGCTTTTCCAGCCTTCCTAGGGCGACAAAGGACTCAGGATGCATGAAAGGTATGTGCAGAGACTGTGTGAGAGAAGGTAACATGTCTCAGTTGGAAGATTATGGGTTTGGTGGGCACCAGGGGGTTTTTGCTTTTTTCTCTTCTGGAGTACACATGTGACACCACGAAACGCATATGATCAAAGGCAAACCCAACTCTGGTATCGTGCCCAATCTGGAAGTTCATCAAGTATGCCAAACAACTGGAAATGTCGGAGATGGCTCAGCGGATCTCCTAGGGGCCAGGGGGCTGAAAGGGGTCGCCGCACTTCGTCGTAGCTCAACACTGCTACTTCGGCGGTACAATATCTTGCCTGTTCGAAGTGTAAAATGCCGATCCAGGAAATGACCTACGAAAGTCCCATGGCCGAGCTCCCACATGTTTATCACGACGAAGATTCCCGTAAGAAAAAATTGAAGGTTTCGGTCAAGTTTACGATTGCAAATCAACCCCCAAGCTGCTACAGACTCGAGATTTGATTCAAGTGATACAACTTGATCACGATTACTTCTTTTACACCCTGGGCCCCTAGTGGCAATGTATCGCTCACTTTTACTCCTGCCCTTCTGTGGTGTCTTCGAGGATCGAAATAGAGCTTCGATTGAGAGGTCAAAGACTTATCGCCTGTAAAATTGCCGCACAGTGAAATTCACAGAGTTTGAGCGATACCATCGTGATCCAGACTGCTGAAATACATGCGAGCGAGCTAGCGCTGCGAGGCAATCGGTACAAGTAGTCGACCATTTACCGCGCTAGCCAAATGAGGAAACTCAGGCACTAAGCCGCGAGGACTGCCTTCACGCACTTCCAGTCGCACTGTGAATTCACTTTGGATGAGGGCAGCTCAGATAAGCGTCCAGCGAGTTTGATGGCAGCTGCTAGGTCTGACTGCAGCTTCTTGACCTGACCTGCATGATTTATCCATCTTGATGTTCTCCGAGGCTTTGACCAAAACATTTCTAATTTTAACCAAGGACATTCCTCCCTTACCTTTTCACTAGATCGACGGGTCAATTGAGTGTTTCCATGTTCTAGTAGTTATCAAAAAGTCTGTAGACTATCCAACTCCAGCCGCGTCATAGGCCATCGCCAGTCTTCTATACTCTCTGACATTATTCTCCCGAATTCATGCCCATTGAACGGACCAGCCGCAAACTATTCCCAAATTCTGATTGCCCTTCAAGCGCAAGCCATATTGCAACCCTTCCCACCAGCCAGAGGTGAATTGACATTACGACGTGTCCCGTCGTGACTGATGAGATTGGTCATTTCCTGCGAGCAAGTTTGTCGCCCAAGCACCGATGAGCTCGTACAAGACTGCGGGCTCCAATGGGAGATGAGCCGGATGAAGAGCAGCCTCGGAAGATTACATCAATTGGCTCCGTGGCTTTGGAGGATCCAATAAAGTGAACCAAGCCAGCGGATATGCTGCAAAGCAGCGGCTCGGTAAACAAACATGGCGGCCGGCAAGGAGCAAAGCGTGGAGTCACCGGTACAGGGCCGCTCGCCGACGAGAGGTTCGAGGGCGAAAACAGTGTACCGATTCCGATTGTTCCGTCCTCAAGTGGAGCAAGCGTCGACTCATCCATTGACCAATATGAAGCTGCATATACGCCATGCATGAGACGGATCCACAGCTCTTCGCAGACGTGAGGACAGGGTTGAATTTGTTTTCGCAAATCGCCAACACGGCAAAAGCAAGCGCATCTTCAGCAAATCCTGCGCCAGATGACTGGAAAAAAAGAAGACAGCAAGTGGAGCGAGGGGCCAGGTGGTGTTGACTGTTCGGCGTTGGGGAATGTCGAGGTTCCGATACCGGGGACGCAGCTAGACAAGCTCCTGCACTAGTCCACACAGGGCGGCCAAAATAATTATCTCGACAGCCATTCGCTGAGCAGCTTGCCGCAACCCAGACTGCTGCTGCGAAATTTCTGAGGACGTCAGTCGACTCATACCTACCATTGCGCATACAGATTCGCCGAGGGAGCTGCTGTTGTTGTAAGACACAATTGAGATGCTGCTCCCAAAGCTTGCTGCTGCCGCGGCGCCGGCGCGGTTGACGCGGGCTGGCAGCTCGCAATGGCGGAACATGTAAGTATTCCACCTCCACCACAACCCTCTCTCATGACCAATTGACTCACGCCTCGCAGCCGCTCCCTCTCCTCGACCGCCCGCCGAAATGAAAAGGACACCGCCCTCAACAAAGTCAGCCGCAACATTACGCAGCCCAAGTCGCAGGGCGCGTCGCAGGCCATGTTGTATGCCACCGGGTTGACTGAGGAGGACATGAACAAGGCGCAGGTTGGCATATCGTCCGTCTGGTACTCGGGAAACCCTTGCAACATGCACCTGCTGCAGCTCAACAACGCAATCAAAAAGAGTGTCGTCGAGGCTGGCCTGGTGGGCATGCAGTTCAACACAATTGGTGTCAGTGACGGCATTTCCATGGGCACAAAAGGCATGAGGTATTCGCTGCAGTCAAGAGACTTGATTGCCGACTCGATTGAGACGGTCATGAACGGTCAGTGGTACGATGCAAACATTTCGATCCCCGGATGTGACAAGAACATGCCCGGTGTCCTCATGGCCATGGGTCGCGTCAACCGGCCCTCGATGATGGTCTACGGCGGCACCATTGAGCCCGGCTGCGGCCGCATGCCCAGAAACCCCAAGCTCGACATTGTCTCTGCATTCCAAGCCTACGGTCAATTCATCACTGGTGAAATCAACGAAGAGGAGCGCTTCGACATCATCAGACACGCCTGCCCCGGTGGTGGTGCTTGTGGTGGCATGTACACAGCCAACACCATGGCCAGCGCCATCGAAGTCATGGGTATGACTCTGCCGGGCTCGTCGACCAACCCTGCCGTGTCCAAGGCCAAGCAGCTCGAGTGCATGGCTGTCGGTAACGCCATCAAGAACCTCCTCAAGGAGGACATTCGTCCCCGCGACATTCTTACCAGGGAAGCATTCGAGAACGCCATGAAGCTCGTCACCATCACTGGTGGTTCGACCAACGCCGTCCTCCACTTGATCGCCATTGCCGACTCGGTCGGCATCGACCTCACGATTGAAGACTTCCAAGCCGTCAGCGATTCCACGCCCTTTATTGCCGACCTGAAGCCGTCTGGCAAGTACGTTTTTGCCGACGTCTACGACATTGGTGGTACCCCATCGCTCATCAAGTTCCTCCTCGCCGAGGGCGTCCTTGATGGCAACCAAATGACGGTTACGGGCAGAACGCTCAAGCAAAACGTTGAGAAGGCGCCGTCTTTCCCTAAGGACCAGCAAATCTTCAAGCCTCTTTCCGACCCCATCAAGAAGACTGGTCACCTTCAGATTCTGCGCGGCAGCCTGGCGCCAGGAGGTTGCGTCGGCAAGATTACGGGCAAGGAGGGACTGCGGTTCGTCGGCAAGGCGCGTGTTTTCGACGCCGAGGACGACTTCATCAAGGCGCTGGAGAGGAACGAGTTCAAAAAGGGCGAGAAGACGGTGGTTGTGATCCGGTACGAGGGCCCCAAGGGCGGACCAGGCATGCCGGAGATGTTGAAGCCCAGCTCGGCCATTATGGGCGCTGGACTGGGCCACGACGTTGCGCTCATCACGGACGGACGTTTCAGCGGAGGTTCTCACGGGTTCCTGATCGGCCACATTGTGCCAGAGGCGCAGGTTGGCGGGCCGATCGGCCTCGTCAAGGACGGCGATCAGATCACCATTGATGCCGAGACGAGGGTGTTGGACCTCGACATCAGCGAGGCGGAGATGGAGTCGAGGCGGAAGACGTGGGTTGCGCCGCCGCTCAAGTACAACAGGGGCGTGCTGTTCAAGTACTCGAAGCTAGTCAAGGATGCCAGCTCGGGGTGCATAACGGACGCGCCCGACACGCCGGCCAAGGTGGAGGGATGAGGAATCTTGTTTACTGATGGTTGACCTGTACGATTGAGGCGTTCTTGGGCGGGCGGGCGGGCAGGATGGGAAATGTTTCAATTATAATTCATCAGAGCAATCACCGGAGCGGTGTTGATCCAAATCTCTTGGCGGTGGCAGCAGCCGAAAGGCAATTTGCAAGCTTATCTGGACCGTGGGGTCTGGAGCGCAGGTTACGTGCCTCGTCGAGAACCGGTGGTTGAGGTTCAGGAGGGAGCGGGCGGGCGGGCGGCCGAAAGCAGACGGGGTCGGTGCGTGCAGCAGTGTCATTGGGCGTCGAGGCCTGTAGCCGCCCGGCTTAGAGTTGATGGCGCCCTGGCTTGGGTGGGCCGTCATCCATCGCGACGCGACCGACGGCCCGCAGCGGCACGCTATTCGACCAAGAGTCCAGGATTGATTCGTTCGATTCGAGTCGAGTCGAGTCGAGTCGAGCCGCCAGCATGGAGATGCATGATTGAGTAACTTGACTGCTTGTCAGGCAAACTGTCGGTCTGCACTCGCTGAGTCGCTGAGTCGCTGAGTCGCTGAGTCGCTGAGAGAGGCGACGACCCCTTCGATTCTCCTCACCTCACCGCGGCCACGACCACGCCCACGCCCACGCCCACGCCTCGCCCTCGCCCTCGCCCACGCCATCCAGCCCGAATGCCCACGCCGCGCCGCGCCGCTCCGTTACCAACATCCATCCCCATCCCCATCCCACCTCATCTTCTCACGCTCTTTTCTTGCCCTGTTGTTTCTCAAACCTTTGCATTCCCGTCCCGCGCGCCCTGGCCACCACCTGCACACCTGCCCTGTCCTGCCCTGCCCTGCCCTGCCCTGCACCTGCACAAGCTCGGCGTCCATGTCCGCATAGCACAACGCTGGCTGTACCGCACCGCACCGCACCACGTCGCCACGCCTCCCTGTTTTTTGATCAACTCGCTGCGCTGCTGGCTGCCGATGCTGCTGCCGCTGCTGC